GTAATGAAATCCCTCAAAATAGATTTAAGTGCTATATAGGTTAAGATAACCACAATGACCTCGAACCAGACATCCTAGAATGTGAAGTGAAATGGGCCTTAGAAAATCTGAGCAACAACAAAGCTAGTGGAGGTGACAGTATTCCAGCTGAGCTATTCAAAATCTTAAAAGACAATGCAGTAAAAGTGCTACACTCAATTTGCCAGCAAATTTGGAAAACTCAACAGTGGCCACAGGATTGGAAAAGGTCAGTTTACATTCCAATTCCAAAGAAAGGCAATGCCAAAGAATGTTCAAACTATCGCACCATTGCACTCATTTCACATGCTAGTAAAGTTATGCTTAAAATCCTACAAGCTAGACTCCAGCAGTATGTGGATCGAGAACTACCAGAAGTACAGGCAGGATTTCGAAGAGGCAGAGGAACTAGAGATCAAATTGCCAACATACGCTGGATCATGGAGAAAGCTAGGGAGTTCCAGAAAAACATCTACTTCTGCTTCATTGACTATGCCAAAGCCTTTGATTGTGTGGATCACAACAAATTGTGGCAAGTTCTTAAAGAGATGGGAGTACCAGACCATCTCATTTGTCTCTTGAGAAACCTATATGCAGGTCAAGAAGCAACAGTGAGAACCGAACACGGAACCACTGATTGGTTCAAAATTGGAAAAGGAGTCCGGCAAGGCTGTATACTGTCGCCCTGCCTATTTAACTTATATGCAGAGCACATCATGAGAAAGGCAGGCTAGATGAATCAAAAGTTGGAATTAAGATTGCCGGGAGAAATATCAACAACCTAAGATATGCAGATGATACCACTCTAATGGCAGAAAGTGAAGAGGAACTAAAGAGCCTCTTGATGCGGGTGAAGAAGGAGAGTGCAAAAGTTGGCTTGAAACTCAACATTAAGAAAACCAAAATCATGGCATCCGGCTCTCTCAATTCCTGGCAAATAGATGGGGAAGAAATGGAGGTAGTGACAGATTTTATTTTTCTGGGCTCAAAGATCACCTCAGATGGGGACTGCAGCCAAGAAATTAAAAGACGCTTGCTCCTGGGGAGGAAAGCTATGGCAAATCTAGACAGCATACTAAAAAGCAGAGACATCACCCTGCCAACAAAAGTGCATATAGTCAGGCCATGGTTTTTCCAGTTGCAATGTATGGCTGTGAAAGTTGGACCATAAGAAAGGCTGAGCGCCAAAGAATTGAGGCCTTTGAACTATGGTGCTGGAGAAGACTCCTGCGAGTCCCTTGGACTGCAAGGCGTTCAAACCGGTCAGTCCTAGAAGAGATCAACCCCAACTGCTCTTTAGAAGGCCAGATCCTGAAGTTTAAACTCAAATACTTTGGCCACCTAATGAGAAGGAAGGACTCACTGGAGAAGAGCCTAATGCTGGGAAAGATTGAGGGCAATAGAAGAAGGGGACGACAGAGAATGAGATGGCTGGATGGAGTCACTGAAGCAGTAGGTGTGAACTTAAATGGACTCCAGAAGATGGTAGAGGACAGGAAGACCTGGAGGAACATTGTCCATGGGGTCGCGATGGGTTGGACACGACTTCGCAATTAACAACAACAACAACAACAACAACAATAGGTTAAGAAAAACATGATAGACAAATTGTAAATGCTGTGATAGTGGTGAACCCTGATAAAGCTGCAGGTATAGATGGTATAACTGTAGAAATGTTAAAATATGGATGGGCTTAAACTCTGGAGTGGCCGGGCAGCTTTAGTAAAATGTGTTATGGTAGCCCATAATTGTACAAATTCAGCCCATATCAATTGAATATATGTACAGATACAACAGCATATAAAACTCTACTTCAGGGATAGTCAACCTTGGCTCTTTTATGACTCATGGACTTCAATTCCCAGAATTGAAGTCCACGAGTCATAAAAGAGCCAAGTTGACTACCCCTGCTCTATTTTATGCTCAATGTTTTTTACCAAACAGGACTCCTAGCAGCGCCCTGTTCCTCCTATGGGTGCTTCTGTGATAATTTTTCATTTTGAATTGTTCACTTCTTTTATAAAAATAGCATTCTTGATCATTTTTTTAGCATCATAGAATTTACTGTTGCAAAATGGAATATTATTCAGAGACAAGTATTATTTATGCACCGAAGGTTTGGGGAAATAAAAGGGTAAAATAACAGAATAACAGAATTGGAAGGGACTGTGGAGATCTAGCCCAACCCCCTACTCAAGCAGGAAACCCTATACCATTTATGACAAATCTCTTCTTAAAAACCTCCAGTGATGGAGCACCCAAAATTTCTGAAGGCAAGTCGTTCCACTGATTAATTGTTCTAACAGTCAGGAAGTTTCTCCTTAGTTCTAGGTTGCTTCTCTCCTTGATTAGTTTCCATCCATTGCTTCTTGTCCTGCCTTCAGGTGCTTTGGAGAATAGCTTGACTCCTTCTTCTTTGTAGCAACCCCTGAGATATTGGAAGACTGCTATCATGTTCCCCCTCATCCTTCTCTTCATTAAACTAGACATACCCAATTTCAGCAACCATTCTTTGTATGTTTTAGCCTCCAGTCCCCTGATCCTCTTTGTTGCTCTTCTCTGCAAAAGAAGCAGTTAGAGTGAAATTGAGACAAAGGAGACTGCAATGGTGGCTAATATCTGTAGCTTGGATGTAAGATGAGGGTGAAGGTTCATTCTCCGAGCTTGAGGGTTAGTTTCCAAATGTTTCATTAATAAGCTAGGTAACGTCTTCAGTGGAATTTGGGGGATGTTCTTCTGTTTATAAGGGCTTTGTGTGGTCAATGGGTCTTGTGATGGTGAGATCACATCAGGCCAGGGTCTTGTGATGGTTCAGCTGTGAGTCACCAGTGAGAGTCTTGTGATGGGGAGGTTACATCAGGTAAGGATTATTGGAAGGTGAACTGCTGGTAGTGGGACTTGCATGGGTTGGTTGAGGTCAGTGCTTTCTCTGGTTGGCTGTGTGATTGATTTGGATTCTGAGGGGTTCGTAGGCTAGTTGTCAGGTCAATGTGTCTGTTGATGGAATTGCTTGTGGAATGCCAGACTTTGATGAACTCACAAGCGTAGCGGGTGGTAGCATGGCTGATCATTTTTGTGTTGCTCCAATCTAACTGTTGCTGTTTGGTGTCAGAATGGATAGAGAGGAGATTTTTTAATAGATCATGGTCACTTACAAAGTGTAAGTTAAGTGTGGCACAAATTATTGCCTCACATAGTGTGACTTTGGTCAAACGGTAAGAAATAGTAGACAACCCATGACCTATTGTGTCATAATTTCAGAGAGATTTTCTTATCAGATTCCTCAGTATCTTCTACAGTGACAGAACTTCTAATGTACTTTCTTGATTAGAAAAGTTAAGATCAATTCATATATGAGTCTGCCTTGAAAATAGCCCATATTGAAATGTACAGCAATCAAATATCAGCACAGGAAATGTTTTATGAGTTTTGTATTATGCCATATTTTATGATAATTTTTACATCATAAATTATTTTATGAATTTTGTGAAATTTCAATTTCATGGGAGTCATGGTCCAGGATTTTGAACACATTCTGTAGGTTACCCATTTGAGATACTTTGGTTCAAAAATTGTTGCCCTACAATGCACCATTTCACCCACTTAAAGCTTACAAGCAAACCTTTAGAGAGTTTTACCAGTATTTAGATTATTAATGATCTCTAACTCAGCTGATGTACAATAATACGTAATCATTTTGTGGTCAGTGGGAGCAACCAAATATCGAAGCATTTCCCTGTGTATAAGCAATATTTATTGCTTTAAAAAGATGGGAAACAACATTGATTTATCTAATCCAACTTTATTACATTTTGAAATGGGAACAATATCTTAGTTGTTTCTCCTATATATTTACATCAGTTAAATCTCTGAATGAATTAGTGCATAGAATTATTGTAATATTTAGTGAATAATGTGTGCTGCATAAGCAAGTGGTTTTAAATATTAAACACAAGTTTAATAGTAAAGTTACAATTTAGGTGGAAACTTTGGGTAGGAGAGAGTGTGGGGAGGAGCATAGGGGAGGACAAAGTTTATGAGTAATTTACAATCAGCTTTGCAATTGCCTATGATTACCTAATGAGGTGAATAATGTTTTCCCACCAATCTTTTCTGGAGGTAGAATTAAGAATAACTTGTGTCAACTTCACTATGTCCAGGCTAAGCTTAAAAATGCAGTAGTTTGTTCTCCAGCATAGTCCAGCCATAATGATAACCTGAGTCTGAGTTCACACAACATATTTAACTTGTTTATTGAATTACTTCATTTTCCATATTTGCACAATATATTCAACCATAAACAAATGCATTCTGCAGCTAAGGTGCATAGTGTAGAGTGTAAGGACAACAACTTTGACAGAGATATGCAGGAATTGTTAAGCTAGGCAAAAGGATATGAAGTGCAGAACAGCAAGATTATATTCTGAAGTATCTCAGGCAGACATCTCTCTAATTCACTGAAGTATAAGAAGGAGGAGGATGTACAGCAGAGTAAGTTTTGCAAGATTCTGCTACTATAGCTGATCTCAATAATAGTGGTTTCAGCTTTCCTGTGATTTCCTGGACTGATCTAACTATTGAGACTTACTTCCTCCAAAATGTAGGAATTAATCAAGTTGTCAGAATCCAATTATATTTCATCTCTAGTTATCGACTATGGAAAACCCCATTTCTGCCCTCTCTGGATTCTGTCATATGATGAAGGGGAAGGGGGGTGAACAAAGGGGTTTTATGGCCCTCACTTCCTTCCGTACAACTTCAAAGGGATTGAATGTGGATACCACCAAAAGGACTAATTCATAACAAAGGAGCCATCAGCTTTCATCTACTCCTCTCTGAAGTCTCCCTTCCACCGGCAGTGAGGAAAAAGGGGGTGGAAATGTAACGCCTGGGATTGTCACTGGAAAGATGGTGGGGTGGGGTGGGGTGGGGCTGCTGGGGACCCTTTAAAACCTTGAACCGTAAGGCTTGGGCCCCAGGTCTTGTCTAGAATGCCTGCAACCATTTTCTCTTAATAAAGATGCCTGTTGGAAGAAATATTCCAAGAGTTCTGTCTTCTTAAGATGCAAAGTGGGGTGGGTCCTTACACAAGTTGTCTGTTCTATTAAAAGTCTTATTCATGAGTTAAGAGATTCTTAAATGCCCCTTTTAAAGGATGTTCAGGGGTCACCTTCAAAGAGAAGCTGAGATTCTGGGACATCAAGCATGCTGTTTCTCCTAAACAACTATTTGAGCATATGCTGCACAAAATTTTGGGCTTCCCTTGTGCTTTGCTCTAGTCTGTTAGATCAGATTGCAAGCACAGATGGAACAGTCTAGAGGCAATTTAAAGGAAATCTTCTGCCTCCCAGGACTTGAGTACTTCATCAAAATTATTTGTTTTCTCTCCACTGGCCAGCTTCAAGTCATCCAAATGGTCTTTGTTGAAATTTCCACATGCAGCACATAGTTTTCCTCTGAGGGTTTCCTTGGCTGCCATTGTGACCATTCCATCAGGATGAAGATAAACTTGCACTTGAGAATCATGGTCAATAACAATTTTATCTTGAATTCTTCTCATGGATACAGGGCTGTTCTCATATGGCAGCGTTATTTTCTGACCATTTACCTGGAAAACAAAGGACAAGACTTAGGAACCTGAAAACTTCCCTGCATCCATTTTTAAACGTTTGCTTTTTCCCTCTGATCTACTCAAATAGTCCTCAGCTTAATTTCAAAATCTTCTGCAAGAGATCAGATATCTGCAGACAACAGCTGTGTAGAAACAAAAAATGTTTGTGCTAGACATAATAGGTATCTCACCTTTTTGCACACAGTTGCCAAAAACATCTGCATGCTTTTTTTCATCAGGAATCAACTCATCTAAAGGTACCCATTAGTTTATAGCTGCTGCTGGCTTGCATTGTCTAGTTTTGGAAGCTAAGCAATGGTTAATAATTGAATGAGATTTTCCTGAGAATCTTATGACTGCAACTTTACTGAGAAATCAAAAAACTTCCCTGAAGATGGCAGCACAACAGAGGAATGTCCATCAATTCAACCAGAATCTAGCTTGACTCAAGGAAGACTGTACCTTTAATTCAGTTATTACCAAATTTAAAATTCAACTTTATTATTAAAGTATCAAAACCCTACTATTAAGGATAAAGTATGAATTGCCCTATCAACTCACCAGTGCCTTTTACATTCTCTAACCAGAATATATGAAGAGCTATTCTAGGAGGGGGGGAAAACTTTGAAGAATGCATGTTGAAGGCTACTAAGTGTTCCACTAGTCGCATTGCTAGCTGTGGAATTCTTGGAGTTGAAGTCCACATGCCTTAAAATTGTCAAGGTTGAGAAACACTGCGACTAGCTCTTGATTTGCTCTTGATTTTCACTTACCCAAAACCTTTCTCGGTTTATAATCCGGATGAATCCACCTTGAAAGTAAAAGTAGACAGACTTTCCAACCACCATCTCTTTCGTATAGTCCTTTTGGATGCTCGCTAAAAGCCTGAACCAGGAGGCAGAGTTCTGATCACAAAGAGAAGCTATTTCGTAGACTCCACTGCAGGAATATCTCCCTGAGGCACCATCGAAAGAAGTGATGTACGCTTGGGCAGTGAGTTTGCATTGAGCTTCCAGCGCCACACAGTCACGCACGCCTTCCCGAAGGGCACAAGTCTCAGGCTGGCAGCTGCCTTCATTACATTGGAGCTGACCTGCTGACTGACAGGTACATTTTTCTGTGCAGCCCTCCGAGTAAATGTGCTCGCCAATCTGTTGAGCAAAGTCCCAGAGTCTGTTATAATCAGAATAGAAAAGTATTTCCTTCTCTCTCTCTCTCCCTCCCTCCCTCCCTTCTTCCAATTTTTAAATTAGTTTAATTGTAAACATAGTTAATGTTGCAGTCCCACAACCAGGGGCATCAACAGGAAAGTTAAGATATTAGCTACTGTTTGATGTTCCTGGATAGATGAGGGAGATGGGCAGTTTCAAAACTTTGATCGATACATAAATAAATAGAAGCCACATTTGTGCAACTGATAATTTGTGCAATGATACAAGTATGCCATCCATGTGCCATCCATTGATCATCTGTCTCTGAATAATATGTCATGATGCACATGGTATTGTTTGCCCCTTCTAAAGTTGCCCATGATCATGTCACCCACCCATTTCCACTTTCCCAATGTTCTGGGGAGCAGACTCCAGTCTGTAGCAAGCTCAAAAGAAAGCACAGCCGCCATCTTAACTGCTCAGAGTTGCCTGTCAGTGAGATGGCTGGTATATAAATTTAATAAATAAATAACGACGGCATGTATGGGCTTACACAACCTTGCCAGTTTGGCCATCTGACTGGATTTTCCAAAGCACCTGAAGGCAGGACAAGAAGCAATGGGTGGAAACTAACCAAGGAGAGAAGCAACCTAGAACTACGGAGAAACTTCCTGACAGTGAGAACAATTAATCAGTGGAACAACCTGCCTCCAGAAGTGGTGAATGCTCCAACACTGGAAGTTTTTAAGAAGAGACTGGACAGCCATTTGTCCGAAATGGTGTAGGGTTTCCTGCCTGAGCAGGGGGTTGGACTAGATGACCTCCAAGGTCCCTTCCAACTTTACTATTATTATTATTATTATTATAAACAGTGACCCTTTTCTTTCCCAAAGTCCTGCCTCCCCCTATTTTTTCCCTCCTGAATACAGGTAGTCCTCAACTTATGACCACAATTGAGCCCAAAATTTCTGTTGTTAAGTGAGACATTTGTTAATTGAGTTTTGCCCCATTTTATGACATTTCTTGTCACAATTGTTAAGTGAATCACTGCAGTAGTTAAGTTAGTAACCCATTTGTTAATGAATCTGGCTTTCCCAACGACCATGGGGATGCTGCAAAGGTCATAACTGTGAAAAACAGTCATAGGTCACTTTTTCCAGTGCCTTTGTACCTTTGAACGGTCACTAAATGAATTGTTGTAAGTTGAGGACTAGCTGTAGTCTGTCGGGAATCCTTCCTAGTTTCCATATCATCAAAGAAAGCCCCTTTCTCCTCTCAACCACATCAAGGGGGAGAAAACCTTACCTTAAGGTAGGCTCCGTGGTAAGTGCAGCCACATTGTTTCATGGCTACACACTGAGATCCATCAAACACATAGTCCTCATCACACTGACAGCCTTCAAAGCAATTCCCTGAGCACTGGCTTGGAATAGACAAGGCAGCACAGGTGGAATCACAAGTTCTGGTACATGGCTCATAGTGGCTGTGGGCCGGACAGGTGAGAGCTGTGGAAAACAGAAGAAGCAAATAGATTAAAATGGCTAGGGAATTCCAGAAATTGCCATCCACATCTCCTAAAGTTGAGAAACACTGCTGCAATGAACTGCTAATGTCTAGCAATCACATCTTCCAGGGGAGGATTCTTGGAACAAGTAATTGCTGAAACTACTCTGGAATCTCTTTTATAATCCTAGAGGCATCCAAGCTCAGTTAAGCACCAGGGGATTTTAGGATTTAAATGGTTGTGAACTGGATAGACACAGCCATTAATAGGAATAGTAAGGCAAGGCATAGGAGGATAGAATAAGACATTTGAGGCAGAGTGTTGGCTACTTTTGGAAAGTAACTTCCTACAAACTTACGGCAGAAGGAAGAACTTCTCCAGGCTCTAATTTTGCCGCCGGATGCCTGGCAAGCTGCTACATAGGCTTGAAGACTTCGGCAAAGGGATTCTTGAACCTCATTGGTTGTACAGGCCTTGTTCAAACAGTGTTCAAAATATTCTGCAGGGTTCACCAATGAATGGCAGTCTTTGAATGGACCTGTCTTGGATGGGATCATTCCACAGAAGTTCCCAGCCTCATATTTTGCTTTCTGGGCTTTGTTGCAGATGGGACATTTGTCCCCACAGCCATCAGAACAAATTACACCTTTCACGGGGACCTTCCAAGAAGCCACAAATTCTTCCACATTTTCAGTGAGTTTTCCATTAGCTAGCATGAAGTCATCCTTCAGATCACCATTGAAATTGCCAGCTAGGCCACACATATGCCTCCTGTAAGTGCTGGGGACAGAAACATGAATATATGAGGAAGTATCATATAGGACTGTGAGGCCAAAGGGTGTGTAGACAATGATGTTGTTCCCTTCTTGGGTGATCCATAATTTCCTGTCAGCTGCATTCATTGGCAGGGTATACAACTGTCCATCCACCTGTACCAACAAAGAATAAAAAATGGGAGTAAGTGCTGGTTTTACATGCATAGAATTTAATGCTCGTTTCACATGGCTTCATAGAAGTAATTAACATCTTTTTTTCTCTCTTCAAAACCCTGGGAAAAGAATCAAGGGCAGCTCCTCTTATGATCTTGCAGTCAATCTGCATTAGCAAAATTATCAGAAGTAGAAAGCACGCATGTAACTCCTAAATCTCCCCCACCCCATTTTTTCTAAGCCTTCTGAGATCAAGGCAATAACGTCACTGAGTTTTTCTGCTTGGTTGTGTGAAAACTGCCTGCAAAAAGTGCATTAAATTTAATGTACCTATTTTATTAAAAGAAAACAAGCAGGCGGAGATTTCTGCTTCCATTCACTTGTGAGATATCCTTGCTATATTTCTATACTCCCTGCAGTTATACAAAGCCCAAATAAAATGTGTATGGGGAGAAGGAGAGGAGAATATAACCCCCACTCTCCAAACAGATTCCTGGCCTAGGTATCAAAACTTCCCCCCCCCCAAAAGATGATAATGGAAACCCATAAAATAAATGTTCTAGTGGTAAGCTCTTTACAACTGTCCACCTATGGAGAATCTGGGTTCTCCATTACCAACGGTTTTTAAGAGGAGATTGGACAGCCACACCTTGACGATGATTTGATTGGCTCATTTGCCTAGTGCAGAGGTGGCGCAGCAGTTAGAATGCAGTACTGCAGGCCACTTTAGCTGACTGTGCTCAGCAGGTCAGCGGTTCAAATCTCACCGGCTAAAGGTTGACTCAGCCTTCCATCCTTCCGGGGTAGGTAAAATGAGGACCCAGATTGTTGGGGGCAATGTAAATATATATATATATATATATACATTGCTTACTGGTGTACATCGCTTAGAGAGTGCTTGCACTTAAAGCGGCATATAAGTCTCATAAATAAATAAATAAATAAAGATTGGATTAGAATAATCCTTGCCATCCGTTCAGTTCTACAATCCAATGATTCTAAGATTGGATTGGGTAGATGTGGCCCTTCTCCCTCACGTTTCTTTCATAACTACATATTGTAAAGCACACTGCTGTCTGATAGGGGGTTTACCTACCATTGCTTGCCACTTTATTCCCCTCTGAAGGGTGACTGTGTAACCATGAACGAAGACCTTCACACTCCGTATTAGAACTAAAGGACCATCGCCAAGCTTCTCATTCTCTACCCACACAGTGAAGTTCTGGAGCCGAGGGTTGTGCTGGCAGACTTGAGCTACGGTATAGGTACAGGAGCCGTAGAGTTCAAAGTGCCTCCCGTCAAAGGAAATGAAATGAGAGTCACCCATTACAATGGCCTTTCCATAGGCTAAGGGGTGGCAGCCTTGGACACCCTTTACAACCTTGCATTCCTCCTGAGCTCCACAAGAGAACCTTTGACATGCTATGGTTGCGTTATCCATGCAAATGCACTTTTTCTGGCAGGAACTGGTGGGATAAAACTCTTCTCCCAGCTTGTAGTATTTGCCTTGATCGAAACAGCCACATTTTGCCTTTGAGACACACTGATCCCCACTGCGGATAAATCCAGAATCACAAAAACATGCTTCCGTGCATGGAACATCACACTTCTGTGCTGAGATGAGGCTCTTGCATGTGGCTGGACAACCGCTGCCACAGAGCTCATAGTGGGAATTAGGTGGGCAAGAAATACCTGAAGAACAGAATAAAGAGAACGCTGCTTGTCAAATTATCACAAAGAAGAGGGGGGTCAACCTATTCTCCAAAGCACCAGAAGGGAAGATAAGAAACAATGGATGGAAACTAATCAAGGAGAGAAGCAACCTAGAACTAAGGACGAAATTTCCTAACAGTGAGAACAATTAACCAGTGGAATGGCCCACCTTCCTGGGGATGCTTCATCACTGGAGGTTTTTAAGAGGAGACTGGACAGTCACTTGTCTGGAATGGTATAGGGGGTCCTGCTTGTTCAAGGGGTTGGACTAGAAGACCTCCAAAGTCCCTTCCAACTTTGTTATTCTGTTATTCTTCATCCTTGCATTCTCAAATGTGGTTGGACCACACATTCATTGGTAACGCTGGCTTGAAATTCCAGCTTTTACACCAAGGAGGTCTGACCTGCTGTTCTGAACACTGCATTCAGAAAATGTACACACTAGAAAAAGTAAGCCAAAAGGAAGTACCTATGGAGAGGAGTATGCATGAAAAAGCCTTTGAATATTAAAACAAATGTATTCCTTTGAATGAATTGGTGGAAAGGCTGTTTCTCAACCTTGACAATTTTAAGGCATGTGGACTTCAACTCCCAGAATTCCACAGCCAGCAATGCTGGCTGTGGAATTCTGGGAGTTGAAGTCCACATGCCTTAAAATTGTCAAGGTTAAGAAACACTGGGCTAGAGCCAAGTGGAAAATGAAACTTTCCTTTCACAAGACAATTTATTTTATGTTGATATAATGGTTCTGATAATAACCATTTAATACTTCTAAATAATGGGTCTAAATCTGAACTAAACTTGTTCCACTTATGTCTCATTAATACTGGAAAAATGAAGAAATACCACGTGAAGAAGACATAATTAAGAAAATTTTGGACTGTGCAAAAATGGATAGGCTCACATTGAGAACGAAGGGGAAGCAAGATTCAGAATACTTTCAAACATGGGGAGATTTTTATAAATGGTTAGAAAAACGGAATAAAGGGTAGGAATGGAAACTGTAATTATTAATGTCAAATGTATAAACCCAGACAACATGTTGCTTACTAAATACTAAAGATTGTTATTATAAAAATTAATAAAATATATATGTCTCATTAATTTGCTATAGGAAATCAATGTTTATTATAGTCACAGTAACTAAAGTTGTGTCTATTTTAAGAAATCTTCAAGATATTGAACTGAAGCAATATATCTATTAACAACGAGTTGGAATTCAAGATAAATTACAGAATACTACTACTGTAAATACAGAAAAAAAATGGGATGGGGGGAACTAATACTGGGTTTAACCTCTATTAAATATAAATGTTTTTCGTTCTGTAAAGTTGATACAGGTTGCATTGTTAAATCACAATCATATTGGTGCTTAATATGTTTGGGGGAAAGATGGCTCTTGCTTTAATGTTTCTAATATTTTAATGTTGGGTCTCTTTCCTTTTTCCAATTCAAGGTGATTTCAGTTTATCACAGATCTTGGATCCTGGATCTTGGAACATTAACTTGATGAACCTACTTCCTTTCCAGATGTGTCAGGCTTCGTCATATCTGGGGGGGGGGGTACCAAGATGGGGAAGGCTACTGTGATATAAATTGTGCTTCTTATCAAATGATTCTCACATTTCTATTACTGGATTTAGGCTCTCTTTCATCTCTTATGCCAAGTAAACTTTTAATGCAGGAGAGAAGACTTACTGCAGAAGGATGATGATCTCCATTGCCCAATTTGGATGCCTTGAGTTTGACATGCTGTCACATAGGAACTGATGGCACTACAGAGGGCCTCATGGTGACCCTGGTATACACAGGTGTCATAGACACAATCATCAAAATAAGATTGAGGATCAATGGCATCATGGCATTGCTTAAAAGGCCCACTCTTTCTTGTAAGAATCCCACAGTAGGATGGACCCTGGTAGGTTTGTTTATCAGCATCACTGCATACTGGGCAATTGTTGGTGCACCCCGAAGAGCAGTCAGGAATATCTTTCACTTTCCAGCTGTTTGCAAATTGAATTTCATCTTCTGTTTGTGTTCCATCTTTCATGAGAAAGTCATCATTTGGATCTTGATTGGCATTACCACAGAGGCCACAGAGTGCGTTGGCATAGGAGTTGGGAATAATGACCCTGGCATAGCTGTACCAATCAAAGCTGACACGCAGATCAAAATCTGTCTCAATGAAGCCATGAACTCCATGCTGGTAGACACTCAATTTATTTTCATAGGAGAAAGGTAGTTCCACAAAGATGCCATTGACCTGAATTAGGATACAGAAAAAATAGTCAAGGCACTAACTACTCTTTCAATTTTAAGAATAATTTGTTCTTGTTATCTTTCAGACTAATGGTCTTCCCTATTCCACTCCAGGGTCTGGTTGACAAATAAGCAATGTAAAAAATCTATCACCGTATAATAACAATAAATTTATTTATAGTCAAAAGACCCAAATAGGAAATGGTAAATGTAATTTAATTTTGGCATTAGATGAAACAGTTTAACAAATAAAATAATTGATAAATATTACACAAAACATTTGAAACACCAGTTTGTTGATAACTGAAATAATTTCCTCACTAGTTCTCGTGGAATTCTCTGAGCCTAAGAACAAACATCCTGTAGACGTTTCTAAATTACTATAGAACATAAGTAGATATTTTTGTGGCATCAAATAAGTGGACTAACTTCCTCCCCATTAAACCAATATTCAGTTGGAAACAGTAGGGAGGTCTTCCCTAAATCAGAAGCCAGCAATCTTTTTAGACTGAGATTTTGAGGGGAGTTCCTTGAAAGCATATGCAGTTTTGCTTTTCTTGCATGAGACTAATGAGTCTTGAAAACCTGGATGATTTCTTGGGATTCTACCCTGCAGAAAATTATTTTACCATTTCAGCATTTATATTCGGGGCATTAACTTAGGGATGATAACATTCTGGCCTCTGCAAGCCCCATATACCTGATCCCTTAAATGACTACAATCTGCAACTGTCATCCCATCCTGATCTGGAGAAATCATAGCCAAACCTCCACAGAGGCACAAGAACAAAGAAACATTGAGAACTTAATCCCCATGAAGCTCTTATGCCTGAGACTGTGAACTTTGCAATGACTCCTATTTTTATTAATAACAAGCCATTCTCCTTGGATTAGCTTATGTACCTGGATCTTTTGGGGAAACTCTTGGCTAATGCTGATGGTAAAGTTGTAGATCTCCACCGTCACCACTTTGGTGTAGGACACTGCCTTATTGCCTCGGTGATTATTCTCCACGGTGACCAAAAACGGTGTAAGAAAGGGATCCTTGGAGCAGAGCCCTGCCATTTGGTAAACGCAGGTTCCCATGAAGTCATATTTCTTCCCATCAAAGGTTGTATAGTGAGGGTCTCCAGTTCCTATGCAGGTACTGTAACTGGCAGCATGGCATCCCCGGACACCATTGACCATGCGGCATTTTGTCTTGCCCCGGCAAGAAGACTTTCGGCATACAGCCTTGCCTAATTTAGCATCACACGTGCAATGACTCTGGCAGTCTTCATCTTCCCAGAACTCTTCCCCTGCCTTATAGGTCACGTCTTTGTAAATGCAATTGCAGGTTTCCACCGGAACACACTTCTCACCACTACGGACATAGCCTTCATCACACTGGCAGATTTGTGCACAGGTATTTTTACAGGTACTGGGAGCAGAACGGTCAGAGCAGGTTGCTGGACAAGCAATTCCACAAGCTTCATAGTGGCTGTTCTCAGGGCAGGATATTGAGACTGTTTAATGAAACCACGGTTAAAACAAGATTAGATGAATATTGAAATGCACTTCATTCCTGAGAAAACACCCTGTGTATCTAATGCAAATTGACAAAAACATTCATATCGGTTCTGGATAATCAAAGGAGCAGCAAGCTTTCCTTGTGAGATTTTGAAAGATAAGGCAAAGGTAAGTCCTTTTAAAGCTTTGGGAAGAGAGGAAAGCATCTTTACAAAGGAAACTCACCTGGTCTGCATTGTAGGAGGAGAGTTGTGTTAGTTTATGACAGGGAAAAAAATCAGAAGGAACCTAACATATTTTATTAAAAGGCAGAAGCTTTTGTGAGCTGCTCATTAGATGCAAAGAGCCACAATGCCTTTTAATAAAATTGGTTAGTTGGCTAAGATGCTACCAGACTGCAATTGTTCTGCTTTAATTACTAAAAATGCTGAGTAAGCAGTGGAAAATTAATACAGGAGTGGGGTGGGAGAAAGAAGGAAAGAAAACACTTTTTACCCCAGTGTTTCTTAATCTTGGCAGTTTGAAGTTGTGTGGACTTCAGCTCCTAGAATTCTCCAGCCAGCTATGAAAGCTGGGAATTCTGGGAGCTGAAGTTCACAAATCTTCAAATTGCCAAGGTTGAGAAACACTGTCTTACCCACTCAGCAAGAGAAGAAAAAGTTAATACTTTCCATTACCTCCCCTATTGTCTAGTGTGCTAGTTAGCAGTACATTACATGGTATAGGGAACCATGGAAGAAAAGAACCAATCCCATCTTTTTATTTTGCTTTTTTTCTATTGGTAAAGTTTTGATGGGTTACTTTGCACTTTAATTTTGGGTGGGTTGGTAGGGAAATAATGAAAACACAGAACATTTGGACTTATAACCTTTGTTTATAGAGTTAGATTCAGTTATATTGTTGGATTTAGTTTTTTATTGGATTACTGTTTTGGAAGTGACCCAGTGTCAGACATGACTAGAGCAGCATTTAAGCCAAAAATATAAATATCCAAATGCAAGAGAAATGCAAATCAATTTAATACTTAACCTTGCTATATAAACATTTGATTTATTGTTAGTTTATTTTTTCAATGAAAAATAAATTAAGCAAAATTAACAAACAAAATTAAACAAATTCTGCAGTCCTAGCAACCCAACATTTACATCCATGTACATTCCATGAGATTTAATCCTGGGAAGAGGATCCAGGCCATACAATTCAAAGAAATCTTGCCCAGAGTGAATGCATTTCTAAGCAAAAATCCTGTAAGTGATAACCATCTTATCTGCAACTACATTAGTGTTGATGCCATTTGGTTTTGGGCTGTGCTGTTTTACAAGGATCTCACTTGCTCTGTGTTTCCCACTGTGTTACATCCTCCCTTCTGGATCTGAGATTCACCTCACTCTTTCCTCTCCCCCTCTCAGCTTCAGAACAAATCTACTCTGGATCACTGAGCCAGGACTACCCTCAGCAAAGGATGCTGTCCTGCTGTTTACAGTAGACAGTGTATGTTATATTTAATGACGGGACACACCTTTACAATCTTGTAATCAGTCATTCCAATTTCCTCAGCAAACAACTGCATACATACAAATGCATACAACATGAACTAATGAAGGAGAGGGAGAGACGGAGAGGGGGGAGGGGGAGAGAGAGAGAGCTATATTGTGCGCAATTCTTTTCTGCCATTTTTCTGTAGACTGGAAATGAAGGAATATTTAATGCTTAAGAATGTGTAATGATTGGAGCGAGCATGCTTATTGTCTTTGCATTCTCCTCGTGGTTAGCTGCAAACAGAGTCTAGAACAGGGGTCTTCAAATTTGGCCCTTTTATGACTTGTGGACTTCAACTCCCAGAATTCCTCAGCCAGCCTATAACACATATTTATTCTCTCAAAGAAGAAGCAGTTTTATTCAAATATCGGCATCAATTTATGAAGATATGGTTTGCATCCATCAAAAAAAGGGACTGAGTTACTCGGCCATAAATTCACAGATTTTCTGGAGGGAAATTTAAACTAAACAGCGGGGACAGGGAGTTAATTGATACGGAACAACCCTGTCCCCGGCAATTTAAAAACTATAGGGCTATCAGTGCATGTAGCACAGATGTGTGTGTGGACAAGAATACCAACCTTGCTACCAATCAAAATGAAGCCTCTAATAGCGAGTGCCATATAAAGTGCACTAACCAAATAGGTGGTAAGACAATAGGGGAACTCAGGCACCACACAGGTTATGTAGAAAGGAAACACAGGGCCACCCACAAAGGACTCAAATGTTTATACACCAATGCACAAAGTATGAACAGCAAACAGGGTGAACTAGAAATTCAGGTTAATGAGGGCAGATACGATATTGTTGCCATTACGGAAACATGGTGGGATGAAACTCACACATGGAACACACAGCTAGAGGGATTTAAATTATTTAAAAGAAACAGACCAAATAAAAGAGGAGGTGGAGTTGCTCTCTATATAAGAAATAACTACATCTTCACAGAAATAGAGTACAACAATGATAAAAACTGTCTTGAATGCATTTGGGTCAATATAAAAGGGGGGGGAAATGACATTGCCATAGGTGTATACTACAGACCACCCAACCAAACAGAGGAAATAGATGAACTTTTTGCTAGTCAGCTAACTAAGGTATGTAGGAAGCACATCACAATAGTAATGGGGGACTTTAACTACCCTGACATCAACTGGGAGACAAACTCCGCACCAAGTGGAAGATCAAACAGGTTCCTGGCAAACCTAGCAGACAACTTTGTCTCCCAAAAAGTAGAGAATGGAACTAGGGGATTAGCCATTTTGGATCTAATTCTCACTAACAGAGATGAAATGATAGACGGTGTTGGAGCCATAGGAACCCTGGGAGGAAGTGATCATGCAATATTAGAATTCAACATTATAGAAGCACAACCAATAGAACACAGTCAAACTAGAGTCTTGGACTTCAAGAGAGCTAATTTCAATAAACTTAGAGAGGGCTTGGGAAGGATTCCATGGATGAGAATCCTCAAGGGGAAAACAACTCAAGAAGCTTGGGAAATTTTGAAAAATGAGATAATAAAAGCACAGTCTAGCACAATACCAACAAAGAGGAAAAATAACAGCTCTCAAAAGAAACCAGCATGGCTGCATAAAGAACTCTCTGACAAATTGAAAGATAAAAAGGACAAGTATAGAAAGTGGAAAGAGGGGAACATAACTAAGTCAGAATATCAGCAAATAGCCCGAGCCTGCAAAGATGAAGTGAAGAAAGCCAAGGCTCAAAATGAACTGAGGCTTGCGACCAAAGTCAAAAATAACAAAAAAAGCTTCTTTCAACATGTAAAAAACAAGAAAAAAGTGAAGGAAATGATTGGTCCATTAGTGGGTGGAAGTGGCAAGAAGGTGACAAGCAACAGGGAGAAAGCAGAACTATTTAACTCATTTTTTGCATCTGTCTTTACACAAAGGGAAAAAACAGACCAACCTATCAAAAATAGTGCCACAAAAAACAAAACAGAAACACAAGTTAAGATAGGCAAGAAAATCGTTAGTGAGCACCTGTCCAGCCTAGATGAGTTCAAATCGCCAGGACCAGACGGATTACACCCCAGAGTTCTCAAGGAACTGGCAGATGTGATATCGGAGCCACTGAACTATATTTTTCAAAGATCCTGGAACACAGGGGAACTACCAGAGGACTGGAAAAGAGCTGATGTAGTTCCCATCCTCAAAAAAGGAAAAAAAATGGATCCAGGAAATTACAGACCTATCAGCCTGACCTCAATACCTGGGAAGATCCTGGAAAAGATAATCAAACAACGAATCAACGAACACCTAGAGGCAAACAAAGTCATTACTAAAAGCCAACATGGGTTTGTCAAAAATAGATCATGCCAGACAAATCTTATTGCATTCTTTGACCAAGTGACAAAATTAGTGGATCAGAGGAATGCTGTGGACATAATTTACTTGGACTTCAGTAAGGCATTTGATAAAGTAGATCACAACCTACTACTTGACAAGATAGAAAAATGTGGGGTAGACAGAACCACCACCAGATGGATCCGTAGCTGGCTGACCGGCCGTACTCAGCGAGTGGTCCTCAATGGAACTGCATCTATATGGAGGGAAGTGTGTAGTGGGGTGCCCCAGGGCTCTGTTCTGGGCCCAGTACTCTTCAACATCTTCATCAACGATTTGGATGAAGGGATAGATGGGGAACTCATCAAATTTGCAGATGACACCAAGCTGGCAGGAATAGCCAACACTCCAGAAGACAGGCTTCAGATACAGAAGGATCTGGACAGACTTGAACACTGGGCACTAACTAACAAAATGAAATTCAATGGTGAAAAAAGCAAGGTTCTACATTTAGGCAAGAAAAACCAAATGCACAAGTACAGCATAGGTGGCACCATGCTCAATAGTAGTAACTGTGAGAGGGACCTCGGAGTCCTAGTAGACAATCACTTAAATATGAGCCAGCAGTGTGCTGCAGCTGCCAAAAAGGCCAACACAGTGCTAGGCTGCATTAACAGAGGGATAGAATCAAGATCACGTGAAGTATTAATACCACTCTTCAATGCCTTGGTAAGGCCACACTTGGAATACTGCATCCAGTTTTGGTCACCACGATGTAAAAAAGATGTTGAGACTCTAGAAAGAGTACAGAGAAGAGCAACAAAGATGATTAGGGGACTGGAGGCTAAAACATATAAGGAACGGTTGCGAGAATTGGGTATGTCTAGTTTAACGAAGAGAAGGACAAGGGGGGACATGATAGCAGTATTCCAATATCTCAGGGGCTGCCATAAAGAAGAGGGAATTAAGCTATTTTCCAAAGCACCTGAAGGCAGGACAAGAAGCAACGGGTGGAAACTAATCAAGGAGAGAAGCAACCTAGAACTAAGGAGAAACTTCCTGACAGTGAGAACAATTAATCAGTGGAACAGCCTGCCTCCAGAAGCAGTAAATGCTCCAACACTGGAAGTTTTTAAGAAGAGACTGGACAGCCATTTGTCCGAAATGGTGTAGGGTTTCCTGCCCGAGCAGGGGGTTGGACTAGATGACCTCCAAGGTCCCTTCCAACTTTACTACTATTACTATTACTTACCCGAAGAACAAAGAGCAGCAGTACCATAGCCACGATAACTAGAACCTCCAAAAACAAAAAGTCCAAATGGAGTCTCCTTGTGTTCCACTGATTGGGCACGATCTGTTACCTGCACATCTTGTTCAGCCCATGAATATTCGGTGCCTGGGATCTGTGTCCACCTGATCGCCTTTCCTTCCATTGTAATTCCACTGGATTCTGATGATTTGGCTATAATCATGGCAGTATTTATGAAGCCCTTCTTTCCATAAATATGGTATGAATTGCAATAGCATGTTATGGCAGGGATGGTCATGAGAAAGGAGTCATAGGAATAGCCTCTACTTCTGGAACCAGTGAAAAACAGATGGACTTGAATTCCAGCATCAGCAGAGATAAAAAGCGGTTGAGAGGCCAGGACCTCAAGTTTAACAACTTCTCCAGCCACCATAGTGCGGGATTCTTTTTTGGAGCTAGATTGATATTCCATCAATGTGTTCTCTGCAGAAACAACATACGCAATATCATATTGTGTCTGGAAAGGAAGAGCAGGGACAATGAAGGTGGTTCCCCAATTCTGAACTGGCAGGAGCTGTTCAACAACATGATCACAGGCTGTGAACTTGACAGCACAGATATGCCCACTCAGAACAGCCACAGGTTTGGTCGATTCAATCCTGGTGCCTGATAAATCTTCTGTGCTTTGGAGCTGAATTGCTTCAAAGGCCTTGAGGTCAGTCACAAAGATGGACCCAGCAGGGTAAACTTGATTTTTGAAAGTTACAGTGCCTTTTAGGTGGATGGTCACTGAGGTGAGATTCTCATGAGCTACAACAGCAAACTCTTTTAAATTAAGAGATGAATCCTCTGTTGGGGTGACCACATAATATAACTGTCCCAGCTGATCAATGGGATAGATGAGTGTACCAGCAGTTGAACCAGATACATCACTATAGGAGGAGACAGAAATGTCTTTGTCAGCTTCAATCAGCACTGCATTATTAAAGATGTCACTCCCCACCATTTCTAAGGACAATGGTAATTCAGTGGAAGTGATTTCTCCTTCATTAACGGTTCTGTGTATTTCCCCACTGTTTGTTGACACTATAATATTGGTTGCAGGATGATATCCAGAGAAATGCAGTTCAAGTTTTTTACTATGGTGATTGGCATAATTGTATATGAAGGCAGTAAGAAATTTCTTCCCCCGGGAACTTACATTACAGATACCTGAAAGAAAAAAGGAGTCTTAATAGAGGATAAATCTGCTTATGCACATGGATAGGATGAAAAATTAAAAGTGATGGTGGTTATTCAATAGATTACCATAAGGGCAAATTATACAATTGGAATTAAACATTGAAATCCTCTTTCTTCAATGAATCCATTTTTGCAAAGATACATTAGTTGGGAGAGATTCCCAGGAAAGCAACATGGAATATCTCCATTTGCCACTCCGTTCCCAAGCGAGGATTGGAGACAAACAGCAGAGGAACATGGGGAAAGAAGGTGCAGGATTTAAACTCAAGAAGAGTTTAAAATTATGGAGTACATCTTTCTCTTAATGACTCTATCCATATTGTTTCAACCTCTGAGAACTTCAGTCAAGTTCCATTTGTCAGCCCTTGAGGGAATTCAAGCCATATCCTTTCCGTCCATGTTCACTTTTAGAGGCCCCATGCAGAGAAAATGTTCTAGTCTGGCATATTACGGAATATGGCCCATAATGTACTATGGGATATCCACTAAAGGGGCTCAATCTGATGAAGATTGAACATGCTTGACTTGGAGTGGTGTTTCTCAATCTTGGCAATTTTAAAACACATGGATGTCAACTCCCAGAAGTTTGGAAGTTCAAGTCTACATGTGTTAAAGTTACCAAAACTAAAAAAACATTGACCTGAAGAATAATCTCGGCTAGACATTGTAGGCCACTGACATTAATGTACTGGTGAATACCTTCCTTAATGTTCACCATCTTTTTTCCTAGCCCAAACAGAGAAATATTCTGATTTTTTTAAAAAGACAAAATTGAATGAATATGGGCTTCACAAACTGCAAAGTAAACTGCAACTTTACTTTAAAAGAAATTGGAGAGATCCACATTGATCATCTTAAAAAACGAAATGGCAGATAGCTTGAAGAGACAAAGGAAGCAACTTCAAGTGTTTTCTATTTGGTAATTGGTGTTTGGTATACTAGCCGGCTTTGCCTATCAGAACAGTCATTTTAGAGCAGCCAGTTGTCCCCACAACTGGCTTAGCCGGCCAATCATATGCTCCAGTGTTTCCCAACCTTGGCCACTTGAAGATGTATGGACTTCCATACCCAGAATTATCCAGGACTGCTGGCTGAGGAATTCTGGAAGTTGATGTCCACATATTATAGATTGAGAAATACTGCCTTGGGCTATAGTCCTCAAGCTACAATTGCCTTTCCACGAGGATACATAGGCAGAGAACATAAAGGAATGAATGCTTACTCTTAACACAGGTCATGACACCCTTTTGAAGGCTGCAGGTTTCGTCAGAGGCACAAGTGTGGGCCTCACATATGAGCCCTTGACCTGGGACGCAAGTACATTTCTCCTGGCACGTATTCAGCAGAACTGTCTCATGGGGCTGGTGGGAAGAAACAGAGATTTTCCGTATTACAACATATGTATATATAGACTTTGGGATATAAATTTTATTTAATTATATTACTTATTCAAATGAATTATAACCTTGGTTCACATCATGTTCTTCATTCCATGAATCACCAAAACAAAACAAAAATGTGTATCATTTTTCTATTTCCCAATAAATTCATTCAGATACTGTCAATGTAGAAGGAATATCTATGCAAATAATCACCAGTAGTTATATCAAGAGAAGAATACTTCGGATTAGTATTCAGTATTTGATATAACCAGTTTTAGTTTTAAACCACTCTGAACCATTTAAAACCTCAATTGCATAACATAAAAAAACATTCCTTTTTACGACCCTGTAATCTCTTAATTTGGGATAGAGTTGGGCCAACTAATAGCAGCTGAGCATTTATTGGCTGGGTGCCCTTCTGGTTGCCACACAGAGTTCACAGCAGATATTTTTTTCTTTGTACCTTACGAGAGAAACATCTGCTGCTACCTGGGACTGAATTCTCAATTTCCCAAGTGGGAGGACAGCATCTTCACCCCTAGGCTACCACACTGCTCCTCAACTGCATAATATAATATTGAAGATATTTCCTTTTTGTGAGAGAATAGAATGAATGGAGGTTCTTTAGAAAGAAAAATAAGAGAACCGATCAGGAAAATCATAGGCTTCCACGTACATGCACATATATCCCTTGGGCTGGATGAACATGGACTATAGCCTTGACAAAAATGACTTATGACCTGTTTTCATACTTATGAGTGTTGCAACATTCCCATGGTCACATGACCAAAATGTTGCACTTTGCAACTGGCATGTATTTATGACAGAAGCACTGTCTCGTAATTGCCATTTGTAACTCCCAGCTGGCTTCCAACAAACAAAGGCTATAGTCATAGGGGAAGCTATGATTCAGTTAACTGCTACACTGATTTGCTTAATAAAGTTGGCAAAAGCAACCAATGGGGAACAAATCATTTAACCACTGCCTTGCTTAGCCATAGAAATGTTGGAGTCAATGATAGTTGTAAGTCGAGGACTATCTGTGTATTCACTAACCTCATAGTCGTGTCCATCTTGGGAACAGCCACAGCTTTCCACAGAAACACAAGAAAGGCCATCAAAGAAGAAGCTGGCATCACACTGGCATCCTTTCTCACAGGTCTCTGGGCATGGATCAGGGTCATTGATCTTTGCACAACTAGTGGGGCACAGGTTGGCACAGACCCTGTAATGGCTGTTGGCTGGGCAGCTTGGAACTACATTGGAAAAATATACATACATTTATATATATTGGTTGAAATTTCCCGGGTGCCACTCAAGGCAGAGGAAAATGGAATGAAGTAGTCGTAGCTAACGATTGATAGTATTGCTCTGATGCTCCACAGGATTCCCTTTCAGGATCTGAGACACATTTTACGTCTTTATTTAGAAGCTTTTTCAAACTGGGCTTTCAATATCAGTTTCTAAGGGAGTCTCCAGTCATGAGCTTTGTGTCAGAATCCAATTATATTTCATCTTTAATCATCAAATATTGAAAACCCCAATTCTGCCTTCTCTGGATTCTGCCATAAGAGGGAGAGAAGGGGGAGAACAAAGGGGCTTTATGGCCCTCACTTCCTTCAGTATACTTCTAAGGAATTGAATGTGTTTATTGCAACCTCAAAGACTTTGAATGTAACTAGCACCAAAGAACCTTACCATAACAAAGGGGGCTATTTACCTTTCATGTAGTTTATCTGAAGTCTCCATCCAGACGGAAGAAAGGAACAAAGGGGTGGAATTGTGATGCCTGAAACTATCACTGGAAGGGGGGGTGATTGGGTGGGACTGCTGGGGAACCCCTTAAAACCTTGAATGGGAGAGCTTGGACCCCAAGTCCTGTCTAGCACGCCTGCAACCACTTCTTCTTAATAAAGGATTCCTGTTGGAAGAATTATTCCAAGAGTTCTGTCTTCTTAAGATGCAAAGTGGGGTGGGTCCTTACATTAGACAGGACTTGCAAAATTAATCCACCTGGAAGGGAGACCCTTGCCGGGGGATTTTGCAAAAAATTTACCATGTCAGACAATGGAGCAAGAGAGGGGGAAAATTCCCTGGAAAGAGAGCCGCTGACCCAGTTGGAACCTTGCCAGATGTTGGGATCCGAGAGGTCAGATTCCTCAGGAGAAGAAGTGGTGGAGACACGGGACCACAAGCCTCACTGGTCAATGGGCGTTGGAAAGAAAAGTGAGTGGGGAAAGGAATCAAGAAAGGTGACCCTGAGACGGGGGACCAAGCAACCAGAATGGAAGCAGGAGATGGAGAAATCCCTGCACGCAAGTGAAGAGGGAGGAAGCTGGGCACAGTACTCAGACTGGATCCTAGAGAAAGCTATTGACCTGATGAAGAGAACTCTCAGCTCCCTAGGAGAGGAGAATCCTGAGACCTACGGCTGCCCCAGCTCCTGGAGCCGCAAAGGGAGAGACACCGAGGGGGACGTGGAACCTGCAACCCCGGGGACATCTACTGATCCAGTAGTCCCCACCCCCTACCGGACCACAGATGGCAATCTGGATGGAAGACACTACCACCACCAACGGAGGCACCAATCCATTCCAAGACGTCCGCCGTTGGAGGTGAAATTCAAAGGGGAGCCAACACGCTTGGGGTTTTTCCTAACCCAAGTCCTCAGCTACATGGAGGGATACGGGCAGGACATTCCCAGCGACAAAGCCCGCATCCGGATCATGCAATCTGCCCTGGATGGACCGGCTGCAGATTGGGTGGTGAACTTGCATGACTCCAATGCCCCAGAACTCAGTAACTTCAACCGTTTCATGTCCTCTTTGAGAAGACAATTTGAAGACCCCCTGGCTGATCGCAAAGCCCATGAAAGGATAAAAACGATGAGGCAAGGCAAACGCCCAGTGGCTGAGTATACACAAGAATTCCGGGCCATTGCCAGCAAACTGAATGGGCCAGAAGACATCCTCCTTGGCCATTTCAAAGACGGACTAAACTATGATCTATATGATGCTTGCCTGCCCCGAGGGGACCCACATCGACTTGAGGAATGGTACGTCTTGGCAGAGGAAGCAGAGATCGACATATTGAAGAGGCACTGCCGAGGAAAACAGTGGAGCCGCCCCCCGCCTGAGCTGACACACGAACCGGTGAAATCATCGGCTACAGCCAAGAAGCAAATGGGGTGTTTCAAGTGCAGAAGAGAAGGGCATCGAGCTGTAGAATGCCGCTCAAAGGCCCCCCAGGATAACCCAGACAGATCCCCAATCAACAAATCCGGAAAGTCTTCAGCTAAGCCAAAAGAAACGGCCATGAGAATGATGGAAATTGCAGAAACCCCCACCTCTGCTCACCAAGGGGAAAGAACTCCAGCCTACACCACAGGGCCGGTGGATGCCTCAGATGACAGCTCGGAGGGCGAACCCCTGGTAAGTGGATGCATCACACCCATCTTCAAAACAGTGACTATATTAATCCCCCCCATGCCCGAAGCTGTGAAGGTGAAAGCCTTAATAGACTCTGGCTGCACCCGCTGCCTCATTAGCCCAACACTAGTGGGGAATCTGGGCATCCCATCCAGGAGACTGGAACAACCAATCTCATTTGGCCAGTTAGATGGATCCATAGCAGGGGGGGTGCCAGCTACCCTAGCCACTCTACCAATACACCTCTCCCTGGGCAAACACGAAGAGGACATAACGTTTGTGGTGACCCCAGGTATGGAATGCCCAATGATTCTAGGGATGGAATGGTTGAAAAAATGGAACCCCTGGGTAAATTGGAGGACGACAGAAATCAAATTCCCAAAGGGGGACCCTATGGACTTAAAACCCCAAGGGAGGCTACCAGAATCAAGAATAGAAAAAGCATCCATAGGAGAGGAAAAAAGATTAACAGAAATACCAGAGGAATATAGAGACCTTGCTGAAGTCTTCAGTGAGGAGAGGGCGAATGAGCTCCCCCCCCACCGACCCACAGACTGTACCATTGAATTCAAGCCTGGGGCAAAACTCCCGAAGCCCAGATTATACTCCATGAGCCCAAAGGAGAAGGAGGAAATGGAAAGATTTATAAAAAAAAACCTGGAGAGAGGTTTCATTGAGCCAGCCAAGCCTAAAGTGGCTGCCCCGGTCCTTTTTAGAGAGAAGAAGGATGGCTCTTTACGTTTATGCGTGGATTATAGGGCCCTGAATACAATCAGTGAAAGCAACCTATACCCGCTGCCCCTCATGAAAGACATGCTGTCACACCTATCGAAAGGGAAAATTTTTTCTAAACTAGACCTAAGGGAAGCTTACTATCGCGTGAGAATTAAGGAAGGGGACGAATGGAAGACTGCATTTAACTGCCCCATGGGGTGCTATCAATTCAAAGTCTTGCCATTTGGATTACAAGGGGGCCCTGCAGTCTTTATGCAATTAATCAATGACGTTCTAAGGGAGCACCTGTTTAAGGGGGTCCTTGTTTACTTGGACGACATTCTTATCTTTACTGAAACAAAAGAGGAACACGTCAACCTTGTCAGAGCGGTTTTAAAGAAGCTGCGAGCCGTCCACCTATATGCCAAACTCTCAAAATGCGAATTCCACCAGGAAAGGATAGACTACCTAGATTATCGCATATCCCCCCAGGGCATTGAAATGGACCCAGAGAAGGTCAAAGCAGTATTAGATTGGGCGCCACCCCGCACAAGAAAGCAACTACAAAGTTTCCTGGGCTTTGCAAACTTTTACCGCCAATTCATCCCCTCATTTGCCCAGATAGCCTTGCCCCTCACTAACTTACTAAAAACGAAGGGAGCATCCTCAGTAAAACCTAGCCAGCCACTAACATGGACAATGGAGTGCCAAGCAGCGTTTGAGAGACTAAAGAGACTTTTTTCTGCCGAACCAGTACTAAGGCACCCAGACATGGACAAGCCCTTCGTAATACAGGCAGATGCAAGTGATGTGGCAGTGGGGCTGTGCTATTACAAGAAAATGATGATGCAGTATTGCAACCCTGTGCATATACATCCAAGAAACTCACGGAAACAGAACAGCGCTGGCCCGTATGGGAGAAGGAGGCTTATGGGATACGTTGGGCATTACTCACGTGGCGACAGTTCCTGGAAGGCAACAAAATCCCCTTCCAGGTGTGGATGATCACAAAAATTTAGAAGCCCTGAAAACTTCCAGGAAACTCAATCCCAAACAAGCCCGCTGGTCCCAGCATTTTCACCAGTTCCAATTTAAGCTCAAACATTTACCAGGAAGAAAGAACTTCCTGGCAGATGCACTATCTCGCATGCCCCAATATAACAGCGCACGAACCACAGACTCTAGACCAATAATGGCAGAGTCACAACTGGCAGCACCAGTAACCACAAGAACCCAAGCCAAAATAAAACCACAACTGGACAGCCAAACTGGAATTGAATTCAGAAAAAGTTTGGAAACAGATGAATGGTTCCAGAAAAACAAAAATGTGTGCACAATGAGAGACGGGTTGCCTTGGGTAGGGGAAAAGTTATATATACCAACAACTCAAAGAGTAACTTTCATGCACCTTTGCCATGACACAAAATCAGCAGGGCATTTTGGATTTGTAAAAACTTTACATTTAATTAAACGGCAATTTTGGTGGCCATCCATGAAAAAGGACATTGAAAGTTATATAGCCAGTTGTCCAAAATGTGCCACGGCAAAGAGGTTGCAAGGGAAAGTGCCAGGACTATTGCAAACAGTGGCAAGTCCCTCAGCCCCCTGGAGAGAAATAGCCATGGATTTTATAGTGGAATTGCCAGAAAGCAATGGGAATACTGTGGTCTGGACGGTCACGGACTTGTTTTCCAAACAGGTGCACTTTATCCCTTGCCAAAAGATTCCCACTGCAAAAGCCTTAGCAAAACTTTTCATCCAACACATTTACAGATTGCATGGGGCACCCCAACGCATCATCTCTGACAGGGGGGTGCAATTTACGTCTGCATTTTGGAAGGAATTTTTATCCCTCTTAGGAACCACTCAGGGACTGACATCTAGCCACCACCCACAAGGAAATGGGGGGGCTGAAAAAATGAACTCCGTACTTAAGCAATATTTAAGATGTTTTCTTAGTTTCCAGCAGACCGAGTGGGCGGACTTACTCCCCTTTGCAGAAGTTGCCTACAATAATGCAGTCCACTCCAGCACAGGTTACACTCCTTTTCAAATAGCCACCGGTCAAAGTTTCAACCCCATGCCAGAATTAACCCCAAACGAACCAACGATCCCTTCGCTGAAAGAATGAATGGAAAAACTACAAAACACCTGGCCAATAGTTAGAAAAGCACTAGATGAAGCTAGGCAGGCATACAAAGCACAAGCCGATAAAAAAAGGGTTGAGTCTACACCATTCATTATAGGAGAAATGGTGTACTTATCTACAAAATACCTAAAGTCCCTACAGCCCTGTAAAAAAGTTGGACCAAAATATATAGGACCTTTTCCAATTAAAAAAATCATAAATCCAGTAACAGTAGAATTAGAATTACCCAAAAATCTCAGGCAAATACACCCAATTTTTCATTGCAGCTTGCTGAAAAGAGAGCATCAGTCACCTCTATGGCCAAAAATCCCCCCCACCACCTCCAGTCATGGTGGAGGGTGAACAACACTTCGAAATAAAGGAAATCCTTGATTCTAGGAGATATCATGGAGCAACTCAGTACCTAGTTGCCTGGAAACACCTCCCTCCCTCACAAAAAGAGTGGGTCCATAAACGTCATGTCAGAGCCCCGAAGCTATTGAAGAAGTTTCACACAGAGTATCCTAACAAGCCTGACTAAGTTTTATACCTGTTTTGTTTTCTTTCAGGTGGATCTCTCTTATTTTTAAGAGGGGCCAGATGTCAGAATCCAATTACATTTCATCTTTAATCATCAAATATAAAAAACCCCAATTCTGCCTTCTCTGGATTCTGCCATAAGAGGGAGAGAAGGGGGAGAACAAAGGGGCTTTATGGCCCTCACTTCCTTCAGTATACTTCTAAGGAATTGAATGTGTTTATTGCAACCTCAAAGAGTTTGAATGTAACTAGCACCAAAGAACCTTACCATAACAAAGGGGCTATTTACCTTTCATGTAGTTTATCTGAAGTCTCCATCCAGACGGAAGAAAGGAACAAAGGGGTGGAATTGTGATGCCTGAAACTATCACTGGAAGGGGGGGTGATTGGGTGGGACTGCTGGGGAACCCCTTAAAACCTTGAATGGGAGAGCTTGGACCCCAAGTCCTGTCTAGCACGCCTGCAACCACTTCTTCTTAATAAAGGATTCCTGTTGGAAGAATTATTCCAAGAGTTCTGTCTTCTTAAGATGCAAAGTGGGGTGGGTCCTTACACTTTGTCTGTCTTAGAATCAGCTCTGGACCTATGAGCTGAGCTGGCTTTGAAAGCTGAGTTGATTTATGGTGGGAGACACTCTTACACTTTCTAATCAATCATTCCAATTTTCTCAGTAAGCAACCACATAGCGTAGTGCACACCATGTGAATGGAAAAAGGAGAGCCTGCCGTGATTTATCTCATGCTCTTTTTTAGTAGACTGAAAGTTAAAGAATTTTCATCACTTCAGGATCCGGGTTGATCAGAGTCAGAGTATTCGTGTAAAGCAATTGTCTTTACATTCTCCTAATAGCTAGAGGGAAGGTATGGAATGGGTGAGAGTGATCTCTGAGAAGATAAACTGGCAGAAGGGGTTATAGACCCCAAAGTGACCTCTGATATATATGAGCAACCTGTGAATTCATTGAAATCTAATAAGAACTTAAATATCTTCATCAATTTATGAGGATACTTACCTGAAGAACAAAGAACAGGAGTACCATAGCCATTAGACTGACCACCTCCATAGATGAAAAGTCCAAACGGACTGTTCTCGTGTTCCACTGATTGGGCATGATCTCTTATCTCCACATCTTCTTCAGCCCATGAATATTCAGTGCTTAGGATCTTTGTCCACCTGATCCTGTGTTCTTCCCATTTGATCCTACCAGATTCTGATGATTTGGCTATAATCATGGCATGATTTGTGAAGTTCTTCATTCCATAAATGTGGTATGAATTGCAATAACACGTTGTTGCAGGGATGTTCATGAGGAAAGGGTCATAGTAATCGTTTTCTCTTTTGGCACCAGTAAAGAAAAAAAGGACTTGGATTCCAGCATCAGCAGATATAAAAAGTGGTTGAGAGTTCAGGACCTCAAGCTGAACAACTTCTCCAGCCACCAGAGTACGGGATTCTTTCTTGGAGCTAGACTGGTATCTCATCAATGTGTTCTCTGCAGAAACAACATACGCAATATCATATTGTGTCTGGAAAGGAAGAGCAGGGACAATGAAGGTGGTTCCCCAGCTCTGAACTGGCAGGAGCTGCTCAACAACATGATCACAGGCTGTGAACTTGGTAACACAGGTATGTCCACTCAAGACAGCCACAGGTTTGGTCGATTCAATCCTGGTGCCTGATAAATCTTCTGTGCTTTGGAGCTGAATTGCTTCAAAGGCCTTGAGGCCAGTCACAAAGATGGACCCAGCAGGGTAAACTTTGCTTTTGTATATCACAGTGCCTTTCAGGTGGATGGTCACTGTTGTGAGATCCTCATGGGCTATGATAGCGAATTCTTTGTTGCTATTTTCTGTGGGAGTGACCACGTAATATAACTGCCCCAGCTGGTGGATAGGATAAGTGATTGTTCCATCACTTGTTTTAGGCAAGTAGTTGTAGGAGATGACAGAAATGTCTTGGTCAGCTTCGATCAGCACCGTCTTATTAAATTTGTTGCTCCCCTCCATTTGTAAGGATAGTGGTAATTCAATGGAGATGATTTCTCCTTCACTGATGGTTTTGTGTAGTATCGTATTTCTTGTTGACACTGTAATATTTGTTGCAAGATGATATCCAGAGATGTACAGCTCCAGCTTTTGACCAGGTTCCCCAGTATTGTAATTCTGCATGAAGGCAGTAACAAAACTCTTCCCCCGGGAACTTACATGACAAGATCCTGAAACAGAGAAGGACTCTTAGGAGATGATAGACCTGCTCGTGCATTAAATTAGGATAATTCCCTGCTTGGATTTGTGTCTGCTCTTGTTTCTGGTTGTCAAAAGGCCAGGACAATAAAGCCAGGATAATAAGAGCCAGTGGCAACTTCTGAGTTTCAACTGCCAGGCAGCAATTTTACCCCTTTATCACTCCATCACTCCCTTCTCCCCCCAAAAGTGTTTTAAAAAATATCAATCACATCTACTTTGGTGACACTGCAACTCCTCCATCCATGCCCATGTGACCTTCAGACAGGACAAAATGTATAGTAGGGCCTGACTATCTTTTTCCGATTGGTATAATTGATAATCAAGTTTCATTTGTCAGCCCTTGAGGGAACTCAAGCCATATCCTTTCCTTCCATGTTCATTTTTAGAGCCCCTGTGCAGGGAAAATAATATACTGGTTTGACCCATTATGGAATATGGCCCATAATGTCCTTTGAAACATTCAACACAGGGGCTCAATCTGATGATGACTGCACGTATTTGACTTGGAGCAATACTTCTCAACTTGACAACTTTAAGACACGTGGACTTCAACTCCCAGAAGTTTGGAAGTTGAAATCCACATGTCTTAATGTTACTAAAGTTGAGAAACACTAACCTGAAGAATAATCTCGGCTAGATATTGTATGCTATTGGCATTAATTTACCCATGAATACCTTCCTTTGATACTCATTTTTCCTAGCCCAGACACATAAATCTTTTGAGTTTTTTTTATTTTTTAAATGAAAATGGGTTTGACAAATTGCAAAATAAAATCCCACTTCCTGCCCCAACTTTACTTGAAAGGAAATTGATGGGATCCACACTGATTGTCTTAAAAAACAAAAATGGCAGATAGCTTGAAGAGACAGCAAGAAGCAACTTCAAGTGTTTTCTACTGGGAAATTGGTGTTTGATATATTAACTGGCTTTGCCTACCATAGCAGTCATTTTAGAGCAGCCAATAAGAACCTGGATAATATATGCTCCTTTTCCCAAATGGCCTCACTACTGGCTTAGCCTGCCATTCATATGCTCCAGTGTTTCTCAACCTTGGCCGCTTCAAGATGTATGGACTTCCACACCCAGAATTATCCAGGACTGTTGGCTGAGGTATTCTGGGAGTTGAAGTCCACACTATCTTGGGCTTTACTCCTCAAGCTACAATTGCCTTTCCATGAGGATACATAGGCAGAGAGCATAAAGGAATGAATGCTTACTCTTAACACAGGTCAGGACTTGCTCTTGAAGGCTGCAGGTTTCGTCAGCAGCACAAGTGTGGGCCTCACATATGAGCCCTTGACCTGGAATGCAAGTACATTTCTCCTGGCACGTATTCAGCAGAACTGTCTCATGGGGCTGGTGGGAAGAAACAGAGAAGTCTTGTATTGCAACATATCCATATATTCACTTTGGAATATAAATGTTATTAATTATATTACTTATTCAAATGAATTATAACCTTGGTTCACATCACGTTCTTCATTCCATGAATCACCAAAACAAAACAAAAATGTGTATCATTTTCCTATTTCCCAATAAATTCATTCAGATACTGTCAATGTAGAAGAAATATCTATGCAAATAATCACCAGTAGTTATATCAAGAAAAGAATACTTCGGATTAGTATTCAGTATTTGATGGAACCAGTTTTAGTTTTAAACCACTCTGAACCATTTAAAACCTCAATTGCATAACATAAAAAACCTTCCTTTTTTACGACCCTGCAATCCCTTAATTTGGGATAGAGTTGGGCCAACTAATAGCAGCTGAGCCTTTACTGGCTGGATGCCCTTCCTGATGCCACACAGAGTTCACAGCAGATATTTTTTTTCTTTGTGACTTACGACAGAAACACCTGCTGCTACCTGGGACTGAATTCTCAATTTCCCAAGTGGAAGGACAGCGTCTTCACCCCTAGGCTATCACACTGCTCCTCAACTGCATAATATAATACTGAAGATATTTCCTTTTTGTGAGAGAATAGAATGAACGGAGGTTCTTTCGGGAGAAAAATAAGAAACTCGATCAGGAAAATCATAGGTTTCTACGTACATGCACATATATCCCTAGGGCTGGATGAATATAGAATGCAGGTAGTCCTTGTCTTACAATCATTTGGTTAATGACTGTTCTAAGATATAACAGCCTTGACAAAAATGACTTATGACCTGTTTTCACACTTATGAGCGTTGCAGCATTCCCATGGTCACATGACCAAAATGTTGCACTTTGCAACTGGCATGTATTTATGACAGAAGCACTGTCTCGTAATTGCCATTTGTAACTCCCAGCTGGCTTCCAACAAACAAAGGCTATAGTCATAGGGGAAGCTATGATTCAGTTAACTGCTACACTGATTTGCTTAATAAAGTTGGCAAAAGCAACCAATGGGGAACAAATCATTTAACCACTGCCTTGCTTAGCCATAGAAATGTTGGAGTCAATGATGGTTGTAAGTCAAGGACTATCTGTGTATTCACTAACCTCATAGTCGTGTCCATCTTGGGAACAGCCACAGCTTTCCACAGAAACACAGGAAAGGCCATCAAAGAAGAAGCCGGCATCACACTGGCATCCTTTCTCACAGGTCTCTGGGCATGGATCAGGGTCATTGATCTTTGCACAACTAGTGGGGCACAGGTTGGCACAGACCCTGTAATGGCTGTTGACTGGGCAGCTTGGAACTACATTGGAAAAATATACATACATTTATATATATTAGTTGAAATTTCCCGGGTGCCACTCAAGGCAGAGGAAAATGGAATGAAGTAGTCGTAGCTAACGATTGATAGTATTGCTCTGATGCTCCACAGGATTCCCTTTCAGGATCTGAGACACATTTTACGTCTTTATTTAGAAGCTTTTTCAAACTTGGCTTTCAATATCAGTTTCTAAGGGAGTCTCCAGTCATGAGCTTTGTGTCAGAATCCAATTATATTTCATCTTTAATCATCAAATATAGAAAACCCCAATTCTGCCTTCTCTGGATTCTGCCATAAGAGGGAGAGAAGGGGGAGAACAAGGGGGCTTTATGGCCCTCACTTCCTTCAGTATACTTCTAAGGAATTGAATGTGTTTATTGCAACCTCAAAGACTTTGAATGTAACTAGCACCAAAGAACCTTACCATAACAAAGGGGCTATTTACCTTTCATGTAGTTTATCTGAAGTCTCCATCCAGACGGAAGAAAGGAACAAAGGGGTGGAATTGTGATGCCTGAAACTATCACTGGAAGGGGGGGTGATTGGGTGGGACTGCTGGGGAACCCCTTAAAACCTTGAATGGGAGAGCTTGGACCCCAAGTCCTGTCTAGCACGCCTGCAACCACTTCTTCTTAATAAAGGATTCCTGTTGGAAGAATTATTCCAAGAGTTCTGTCTTCTTAAGATGCAAAGTGGGGTGGGTCCTTACACTTTGTCTGTCTTAGAATCAGCTCTGGACCTATGAGCTGAGCTGGCTTTGAAAGCTGAGTTGATTTATGGTGGGAGACACTCTTACACTTTCTAATCAATCATTCCAATTTTCTCAGTAAGCAACCACATAGCGTAGTGCACACCATGTGAATGGAAAAAGGAGAGCCTGCTGTGATTTATCTCGTGCTCTTTTTTAGTAGACTGAAAGTTAAAGAATTTTCATCACTTCAGGATCCGGGTTGATCAGAGTCAGAGTATTCGTGTAAAGCAATTGTCTTTACATTCTCCTAATAGCTAGAGGGAAGGTATGGAATGGGTGAGAGTGATCTCTGAGAAGATAAACTGGCAGAAGGGGTTATAGACCCCAAAGTGACCTCTGATATATATGAGCAACCTGTGAATTCATTGAAATCTAATAAGAACTTAAATATCTTCATCAATTTATGAGGATACTTACCTGAAGAACAAAGAACAGGAGTACCATAGCCATTAGACTGACCACCTCCATAGATGAAAAGTCCAAACGGACTGTTCTCGTGTTCCACTGATTGGGCATGATCTCTTATCTCCACATCTTCTTCAGCCCATGAATATTCAGTGCTTAGGATCTTTGTCCACCTGATCCTGTGTTCTTCCCATTTGATCCTACCAGATTCTGATGATTTGGCTATAATCATGGCATGATTTGTGAAGTTCTTCATTCCATAAATGTGGTATGAATTGCAATAACACGTTGTTGCAGGGATGTTCATGAGGAAAGGGTCATAGTAATCGTTTTCTCTTTTGGCACCAGTAAAGAAAAAAAGGACTTGGATTCCAGCATCAGCAGATATAAAAAGTGGTTGAGAGTTCAGGACCTCAAGCTGAACAACTTCTCCAGCCACCAGAGTACGGGATTCTTTCTTGGAGCTAGACTGGTATCTCATCAATGTGTTCTCTGCAGAAACAACATACGCAATATCATATTGTGTCTGGAAAGGAAGAGCAGGGACAATGAAGGTGGTTCCCCAGCTCTGAACTGGCAGGAGCTGCTCAACAACATGATCACAGGCTGTGAACTTGGTAACACAGGTATGTCCACTCAAGACAGCCACAGGTTTGGTCGATTCAATCCTGGTGCCTGATAAATCTTCTGTGCTTTGGAGCTGAATTGCTTCAAAGGCCTTGAGGCCAGTCACAAAGATGGACCCAGCAGGGTAAACTTTGCTTTTGTATATCACAGTGCCTTTCAGGTGGATGGTCACTGTTGTGAGATCCTCATGGGCTATGATAGCGAATTCTTTGTTGCTATTTTCTGTGGGAGTGACCACGTAATATAACTGCCCCAGCTGGTGGATAGGATAAGTGATTGTTCCATCACTTGTTTTAGGCAAGTAGTTGTAGGAGATGACAGAAATGTCTTGGTCAGCTTCGATCAGCACCGTCTTATTAAATTTGTCGCTCCCCTCCATTTGTAAGGACAGTGGTAATTCAATGGAAATGATTTCTCCTTCACTGATGGTTTTGTGTAGTATCGTATTTCTTGTTGACACTGTAATATTTGTTGCAAGATGATATCCAGCGATGTACAGCTCCAGCTTTTGACCAGGTTGCCCAGGAGTGCGATTCTGCATGAAGGCAGTAACAAAACTCTTCCCCCGGGAACTTACATGACAAGATCCTGAAACAGAGAAGGACTCTTAGGAGATGATAGACCTGCTCGTGCATTAAATTAGGATAATTCCCTGCTTGGATTTGTGTCTGCTCTTGTTTCTGGTTGTCAAAAGGCCAGGACAATAAAGCCAGGATAATAAGAGCCAGTGGCAACTTCTGAGTTTCAACTGCCAGGCAGCAATTTTACCCCTTTATCACTCCATCACTCCCTTCTCCCCCCAAAAGTGTTTTAAAAAATATCAATCACATCTACTTTGGTGACACTGCAACTCCTCCATCCATGCCCATGTGACCTTCAGACAGGACAAAATGTACAGTAGGGCCCTGACTATCTTTTTCCGATTGGTATAATTGATTTAAGCCAATATGCACATTTCATCTTTTTCCATTTGTTTGGATTGTCATATTTAAGGTAACTCTGAATCATTAGAACCCCTTTCAGCCACCATTCTGGAAATCTGGTTACCTTTCTGAACGCAACTCATGACTCCTTCTTGGGATTCACAGGTCTCCTGAACTGCACAGCTGTGGTCAATACAGGTCAGCCCCTCACCTGGGATGCAAGTACATTGCTTCTTGCAAGCATTCAAAAGAACCATCTCGTTGGGCTGTTGTCAAAATGGAAAGACAAAATAATAGAACAGAATCAAAGATGATTTCAGATCTACAGTAATGAGAGAGCGATCTGAACTGTAAATACTATTCACCCAAACAGTTCTGAATAGATTTATCTGTGAGACTTTCATATAATCTAAGGTATCCATGTATGGGGGAATGAAAGAAAAAGAGAACAATATCTAAAGAAGCGATTTCCAATTTTCCTTACAGCAGTTACAAACATGGTTACAATTATCATTTCCCTTGTCCCAAATTACTTATCATGGTTTCCTTTTTCCCATAAACAACCCCTTTTAATCAGTATACCTCAAGTTTGCCAATTCACCTTTATCCATTCCCATAAAGGATTTCAAGTCTTTTATAAGAAATAATTATTGTTCCTAAAAGCACAACATTTTGCATCACTTTGATGCATGACTCTAAATAATATAAGTAAATACATCCATCATATTCCTTTTGCAATGTGAAAGCCCTGAAAAATTATCAGTTGGGAGATCACAAAGTACCAAGTCTGGAAGAGTCAAATGGTATAATTTGGAAGGAAAACACTGAGCTTCAGATGTATAAAAAAACATTTCTCTGTTGCAGTCCAGTCCTTACAGTTTCATCTCTTTTAGATTTCAAAGATGATAAAATTTCAAAGATCCCAGTGAAAGGGATACTGAGAATCGGGGATCATGATTCCACATATGCTGAAGACCAATCACCATCCAGATTTATCTGACATTCATTGAGAAGGACTAGTGCTTTAAACATTTGTTTTATTGCCTTGAGTTTCTATTTGGTGAGCCACCCAGGGTTCCTGTGGATAGATGGATGGCTATCTAAAATTATTTAATAAATTTAATAAGTAAAGGGAACAACAAAAACAGAAAGTACAGGAGTAAATCCAAAACATTTATTACCTGATAATAGTGTCCATTGCTGAAGCACCCACATTTTTCTTTGGGAATGCAATCAACACCATCAAATAAAAACTCATCATCACATTGGCAGCCCTCCGTGCAAGTCTCTGGACATGACTCTGTGATGTTGGCACAGTGGTTGGAGCAAGTGCTGGTGCAGACTTCATAGTGACTGTTAGCTGGACAAGTCATAGCTAAATGGAAAGAAGAGATATAGGGAATCATAGTTGTCTACTCAAGATGGGAAGAAAGAAGGCAGACAATCCTGGGTACCACTTGGTAAGCAGAGAAGAAAACAAGATCCATGGAAGGAAAGGAACAGGTCACTGATAGGATTTTTTTTTCTTAGCCATGTCAACAATTTTTTTCCAGCCATATGCCTTCTAGAACAGGCATGTCAAACTCATGATGTCACGTGATGTTGCGGGACATATCAGGACTTTTTCCCCATTGCCGGCACTGGGGTGGGCGTGGTTTCAGCGTGACGCATCTAGCCTGCAGGCCGGCAGTTTAACATGCCTGTTCTACAATGTTATAGTTTCACTCTCTAATTCCCAATCACATCTGGTGATTACCAGCTTGGAGTTGATTGGTCTAAAACTATACTGAGCATCGCCCAAAGCTGAGTGTACATAAAGCTGGAAAAGAAACTCCCAATTTTTTTTAGATCCAATTATTTTCTTATTTGAAACATGCATAAAGCCACATAAAGACCCCCACATTTATTTATGCAAAATGCTGTCAGATTCAAGAACTTTAAGAAAGGTTAGAAGTGATTGAAGCTAGTCAGTTGATTGCCATAAGATCAAATTATATAATGAGAATTAAATATTGAAATCCTTTCTTCAACGTGTATAAAAATATGTGTCAAAGAAGGGACAAACAGTGGATAGTTTCCGGAAGACCAATATGGAAGATATGAATTTGTTAGTCTACTTGCGAGTGTGAAAACAAAAGTCAAAGGGATCCATAACATTGGAAGACACAGAGTCAGAACTAAGAAAAGTTTTTAAAATATTGCCCTTAATGGTTCTATGGCTGCCAAAAGTTGTCATGAAAACTCTTCTAGACTTGCAGTAGAGATATAGCTCTGTCCACGTTGTGTCCAGAAGATGCTGTAAATGTCATAAATGCAAGCCTGTGATCAAGTAACCAAATCACATGATCACAGAGGTGCTGGGAAGGCCAGAACTTCAAAGACCCCTCATAACCACCATTCATTCGGTGCCATTGCAATTTTAAATGGTCACTGAATGAGTAGTTATAAATCAAGGACTACCTGTATACCTATTTTCCATGTACAGAAACTTATATTTACACTCCACATCTCCTCTTATTTCCTGAAAGTAATATTAGGTTTTTAAATACTTACCAGAGAAGCAAACAGCTGTGAGTTATAACCATGCATGATACTAGAGCCGGCTAGCCAAAATGGCTGCCTGAAGAATTCTGGCAGTTGAAGTCCACACATCTTAAAACTGCCAAGGTTGAGAAAGACTGTACTCGAGTATCAGACTGTGATTCTCTAAGGATAGTTTCCAGGGCTTATTCCCATGTGCATCCCATTCAACTGGCTTAATTCTGCAATGAACTATAAATCATATCGTATAAAGCAGAGGTCTTCAAACTTGGCCCTTTTATGATTTGTGGACTTCAACTGCCAGATTTCCTCAGCCAGGCATACTAGCTGAGGAATTCTGGGAGTTAAAGTCCACAAGTCACAAAAGGGCCAAGTTTGAAGACCCCTGGTATAAAGAGCTCTTGTCCAAGCAAATACAATTGCGATATAGAGTTTACTTCAGGAAGAGCTGCTTTCAGCAAAAATGCAAACCAACACAATCGGAAAGACTCACAACATTAAAGGTATTAAGTTTGACAATACTTACAGAAGATACAATGAGCCTGTGAGCCATAGCCATCATGCTGTGAAAATCCAAGGATGAAGACCCCAAGTGGAACATGATGATCTGAAGAAAGAATACCTGCTCCTCTACCTAAATTGTATTCACTCCAAGAGTATTCTGTGTCTGGGACTGATCTCCACTGGCTTTTTTCAAAAGGTCTCCTCTGTATTCTAATTCCACTGGGATCTGAGGTTTTGGCTACAATGATAGCATAATTATCCAACTGCTTCATGTAAGCAAGATCATATGATTTGCAAAAGCTTGTAACAGCTGGGATACTGACAAGCAATGGTCCACTGCCTTGGCTTTTACCATCAGTAGAGAAGTAAAGCACCTGGATTCTAGCACTTGCGGAAATAGAAAATGGCTCAGAAGAATATTTGTTTAACTGCATGACTTCTCCAGATTCCAGGGTCTGGGTGCTTAGCTCATCTCCATGTTGATATTTGAGATAAGTGTTTTGGGAAGCTGTTACATATAGTGTGCCATCCCTGTTTTGGAAAGGGAGGACAGGAACAATGAAGAAGGTGCCCCAGCTTGAACTGGGCAGCAGCTGTTCAAAAACTTGGTTGCAGGCATTGTCTTTCATAATACAGCTGTGTCCACTGAAGACAGCCACGGGTTCTTTCGATTCAATTCTGGTGCCTGATAAATCATCTGAGCTTTGCAGCTGAAGTGCTTGGAATGCCTCAAGATTAACAGAAAGTTTACTCCCTGCGGGATAAGCCTGTCTATTGAATAGCACATCTCCTTTTAGGTAAATATCAACATCAGTGGCAGTTTCCTGAGCTACAATGGCAAATTCCTTGAAACCATTTGTGGTGATATTCGGAGTTACCACATGATACACTCTATCTAGCTGGTGGACTGGGAGTACAAGAGAAGTGCCAACCAAAGATCTTCCATTGCCCTGGGCAAAGACTGAAATTTCTCTGTTAGCTTCAATGAACACAGTCATATCGAAATAATTTGATCCCCTCATCTCAAATGTGTCTGGGAGTCTAACTGTTGCTACTGTTCCTTTGTTGACCACAAATGTTCTCCAGAACTTATGCCTGCTTACTGACACTTTGACAGCAGTTGAAGAATAATGACCAGAGATAAGCAACTGGTATTTATTGTCAGATGGACTGCTTTGATATTTCTGGTGATCTTGCATGAAAGCCATGACAAATTTATTTCCACGAGGACTTGCTCTTTGGGAGCCTAGAAGAGAAAACAAAGATCTTGCTCATGTTTCTCTCGGGGAAAAAGTTGCATAAGAAGTGACAAAAGTGACACCCCAAATGTCATGATGTGTCACCTTTGACACATGTGCCATCACTGTGCTAGAGGGAGAGTAACCTTAAAATGATCTGGAGGAGAAATAGTTCAAAGCTCAGCTTTCCCTCTGTATGCAGGCAAATACAGAGACCACAAAATTCCTTACACACATTTGAAACAACAGAAGTATATATCAAACAGTCCAGTTTACTCACCACATATTTGTACCAAACCAGCCAAAAAGAACAGCAGTCCTCTCAGTGCCATACCTGCATGAGAAGGAGAGATTAAGTATATTTTTTCCTGCACACACACACACACACACACACACATACACTGCACTCCCAGATCCACTGGGGACGCAAAGCCCAGCTGTCACCATGCAGACATTGCAATTGGCATGAAATTACAAGAAGATGGACCTGTGATAATTAGTAGGACAATGATTGACAGCCAGTTTGATGTAACAGTAAAAGGCACCAGGCCAGGAAACAGGAGTTTGGGAGTTCTAGTTCTATATCAGTCCTGAAGCAGTTGGCAACTTTCAGCCAGTTCCCTTTTCAGCTCCCATAAGAAGGCAGAACAAACCACCCATCAGATGAGTGAATTGAAGATTTGGCTCCCAAGTATAACTATTATTAATGATGATGGTTTGGGTCACATTATACACTGGTCTCTGGAGGTGGGAAAGATGGAAGTAAAAAGAATGACCAGCAGCAAGGTGGATGGGCTCAGTTATAATGATGATGGGATACCTGTGGAATACCAGATTGGAGAAAGATTCTCTTGGAGAAAATAAAAATGGTCATTAAGAGAGAGCACCAATTTGATGGCACCAATCAATCAGTGATATTTAAAGGAAGACCAAGAATATTCTTCATTTTTTTGACCCAGTGGTTCAATATGATGACATTGGTATCAATATGATGATAACACAAGAAGTGCTAGAAGTTTCTGGAAGGAAAAAGGTTGCAAACAGTATGTTATTAGGTTGCCCCCTTGAGGGTGTTAGACAAATCTACCCAGTAATTAAAAAGCCCGCCAAAAGATAAGGTAGGCAGTGAGGAGAATTTAGCCAGCCAATCAGAATTGTTGATGTAATGTATGAATTGTATAAATACCTGTTGTGAGGAGATGTGGTGTGCTTGCTTTAAGACATTAGTTCTGAACATAAATTCTTTAACTCTGTGCAGAAATAAAAATTTTGAAATGTTCCCACCCATCTTTGTCTGATTATTTGGTATAATTCACACCAGATGAAGTGAACTACCCAACTTTGGTTAGAGCCAATAAATATATAAAAATGCCTCAGTGTTGCAGCCTTTAGTTAAGGGACAAGTCCTCATGAAGCTTTTGCAAAAATCTGAATCTGAGACTTTGAGTAAGGCTGGTGAAGTAGGGAAAAGTTGCTCTCTAGACTCTAGTCCTGGCTGCTTTAAGCTGACAAAATGTCCTATTGAATCTTTGAAGAGATGTGTCTAGGACTGTGCTTTAAGGCCAAATAAGTAAAACCCAGGCGTATATTTGATATGTAGGAACATGTAGCAGGTGCTCTTACAAAATGGCTGCCCTTATGGGTGCATGGGCATTCTTGGCAATTGAACTTTTTGGCAAAATGTTGAAATGTGTTGTGACATCATAGCCCTCATGGATGCTTATAGATAGGTGTTATTTGTTTTTTTATCAAAAGCAAATCAAATAGCTTAAATAAATAGCAAAGTTGGAAATGAATCCCCAAACTGCATACAGTATTGAATTTTCAGATCCACACAGTATTCATTATGAGGTTATAAAATAGCTAGTACCTGATTCAAATTTGTGCTTCAGTATCAAGAGATAAATCAATTCAATATTTATGTCAGGCATGCACAAAAGTCCATGGAATTTTTGAATTTAGTTGAGTGCATTTGATTTGATCTGACGCATTGGATTGATACAGCAATTTGGTTCATCTATTTAAATCAAAGGGCCAGTTTGGTTGCATTACCTTCAAACCGAGCTTCACAAAGCTGTAGTATTGATTTCATGAAAGAAAATCAGACGTGCTCAGAGAAAAACAAACACTGGACTCAGCCCCTACAGTTGAACAAGAACTCATGCAAAATGCAAGGACACACTCACAAAATAAAAAAAAACTAGAAAAACCCAGCACATTATAAAGTACATTGATGCTAATGGAAGCAGCACAAAGAAACACATGTAGAAGAGTACAGAGAAGAGCAACAGAGATGATTAGGGGACTGGAGGCTAAAACATATAAGGAACGGTTGCTGGAATTGGGTATGTCTAGTTTAATGAAGAGAAGGACAAGGGGGGACATGATAGCAGTGTTCCAATATTTCAGGGGATGCCACAAAGAAGAGAGAGCCAAGCTATTCTCCAAAGCACCTGAAGGCAGGACAAGTAACAATGGATGGAAACTAATCAAAGTGAGAAGAACCTAGAACTAAGAAATTTCCTGACAGAACAATTAATCAATGGAATGACCTGCCTCCAGAAGTTGTGAATGCTCCAACACTGGAGGTTTTAAAGAAGGGATTGGACAACCACTTGTCTGAAATGGTGTAGGTTTTCCTGCCTCAGCAGGGGATTGGACTAGAAGACCTCCAAGGTCCCTTCCAACTCTATTATTATTATTATCATTATCATTATCATCATTATTATCATTGTTTACATACTAGAGGAAAAATACCTACCATATACCCTTCTTCATTTTTTGGATTCCCACCAGCCCACAGCTTTAAAATTCAAAAGGTGACTCCAAACTAATCTATAGTTCTTAGACTGGCAGCATTGTTAAAAGTGGAAGGAAATGAGTTCTGCTTTGTGTTTTGGAGAAAAAAATAATGACATAAATAAAATCAAAGGGAACCAGGCTAGATCTACAGTGGTACCTTGGTACTCATCATTCATTGGTTCTAGGAGGCATAATGAGTACCAAAAATGATGAGTATCAAACAATTTTTCCCCATAAGGAATAATGCAGTGAGTCACAAGAAAACCAACAGCAACAAGTTCTAGCTTGTGCATTGAGAACCTGGACAAAATTTTCACATCAAAATGCATTGAGTACCAAATTTGATGAGTTTCTATGCAGTTGAGTACCCAGGTACCAGTGTATTCTGATTTCTCTAAATTGTGAAGTAAAGAAAATCAGGCAGCAAAGTTTACTTAAGTCATCACTTGTCTTCAAATCCCTTGGAATAAAATTTCAATGTTCTAAAATCTCAACTGATCAGATTCAGTGCTCCATCCTTTCCTACATAGATACTGTAATAGAAACATAAATGAAAAACTGATGAGCACAAATGAGCAGAACACAAATAAGCAAAACCTCATTTGGTAAGGTGGAATGTTCTGTTCTTCATTGCCAACAATTTTTTCCCCTAAAATTATAGATTGAAAGAGGAACTGTTCAGGATTGCAAGTTGATAAGGGGAAAAACCTGAAGCTTAACTGAGATAACTCATGTATGATTTCTTTGCTGAGCCAGCCTATGAGTCACCTAAGGCTCAATGTGGAGAATCCTTGCTTACCTTCAGCCCAGGAAAATCAGCCTTGGTCTGACAGAGAAGAAAGAGAAGGGAGAATTCTTCTCCCTCTGTTTTTAACAGTGTTCCTTCCCCTTTTTATAGATACAGAGATCAAAGTAAGTTCTCCATTTAATTTCTGTGGAATTATCATTCATACCCAAAGGACTGGGGTTATTACTTGGAAAAATAAAAGGGGAACTTAACCATGACAGCCTGGCTGATTTTTTTGGCAATGAAATTATGAGTTTGAAAGAAATCACTTAGCATTTTTTTCCACTATGTGATCAGAAATAAAAATGCTAGCAATTTAAGAAACAACTCTCCAAGATCATTCTACCATCTTAACCATGATCGATAACCATAAACTAACGAGATTTAGATACTACCCACTATACAATTGGCCCACAGGATTGCTTAATGATGGCATCTGATATATTTGCTCAAATCAATATTAAATTGGAGGGAAACATGCAAAGTAGCTTGCAGTTGAATGAATCTGATTTACAATGGAAGCTAATAAAATTGACATCAATTATTGTTTGACTCACCCATACTGGTGAATCTCTCTTGAAATCAACAGCAGTCTTGCAGAAAAAAGATAAATTTGTACAAGGTTGAAAATATTCCTTTCACAGAATGATCTGATTGGTAGAGTTACAAAAGTGGGGAGAAGCCATTAGGGCTGAAGTGCCTCCTATTATGGAGATGTGAGAAATGTGAGGAATGAAATTCTCCACCACTGGAGAATTCTGACTGAGAGCTATCATCTACTGATTTGTTGTTACCCCGTCATCCATGAGGTGACCAGAAACTACACCACGAACTTTGCCATCCTGTTGATGAGTCTTGTCCTGCCTCTCTTGTTTCTGTTCCCAGCCAGCATCTATCCCTCCAACATTCTTGCAAGACAATAGACGATAAAAACTAATAATAATAATAATGATAATAATAATAATAATTATTATTATTATTATTGATCATCGGAAAATCTGGCTGACTGTGTGATGATCAATAATAATAATAATAATAAAGTTGGAAGGGACCTTGGAGGTTATCTAGTCCAACCCCCTGCTCAGGCAGGAAACCCTATACCAGAGGTCTGCAACCTTAAAACTCAAAGAGCCACTTGGACCAGTTTCCCAGAGAAAAGAAAACACTGGGAACTGCAAAACTTGTGTGCACATGTGCGCATGTGGGCATGGCCGGGAGCTTGATTGAAAAGTTTAATTAAAAAGAAATAGAGACTGCTGTGCATGAGTTCTCTCTCTCTCTCTCTCTCTCTCTCTCTCTCTCCTCTCTTTCCTCTCCCTCTCTCTATTTCCTCTCTCTCCCTCTTTCTCTCTCTCTCTTCTCCCCCTCTCCCTCATTCTCTTTCTATTTCTCTCTCTCCCTCTCTCTCTCTCCTCTCCCTCTCTCCCTTTTTTCTCTCTCCCTCTTTCTTTCTCTCTCTCTCCCTCTCTCTCTCCTCTCTCCCTCTCTCTTTTTCTTTCTCTTCCTCTTTTTTCTCTCTCTTCCTCTCTTTCTTTCTGTCCCTTGCTCTTTTTCTCCCCCCCTTTCTCTTCTCTCTCTCTTTCCTCTCCCTCTGCCTCTCTCTCTCCTCTCTCTCTTTCTCTCTCTGTTTCCTCTCTCTCCCTCTTTCTCTCTCTCTTTCCTCTCCCCCCTCTCTCTTTCTCTCTCTTTCTCTCTCCCCCTCTCTCTCTGCTCTCCCTCTCTCCCACTTTTTTCTTTCTCCCTCTTTCTCTCTCTCCCTCTCCCTCTCTTTCTCTCCCTCTCCCTCTCTTTCTCTCTCTCCATCTC